ATTGTTTTTTTATGTTAATATGTAATATTTTAGATATCAAGTCAAAATACAATTACTCGATAAGTTTTGTATTCGAACTCGATATGGTTTTATATTATTCAATATCTTTTGATACACGAAACTTTAAGTTTTTTGGATTTAATTGAAATTTTTTTGTTTTGTTTTAGGTTAATAGTTCTTATATGATGTTGTGGTTTTTTTGTATTAAATTAAATTCATTTTGGTTTTAAGTTTATTGAAAGTGTTTGAGATTTAAACATGTATGGTTTCTCACATATTTAATTTAAAATAACTTATATAAACGGGGGAAAAATCATCGTTTCCCCGTCGGAGATGGGGATGTGATTATATTCCCCGGCGGGGATGGGGATGGGGACGGGAACGGAGATTGAAGTCCCCGCCCCATTCCCATGTCTAGATTTGATGTTATTACTCTTGTTCAACATTGTCTTGGGATTTTTCTAATTATTTCTTTATCCCTTTTTTTAGCCTTCAACAATGACCTGAGTCCCATAAGGACAACCCCACAAAATTAACTCTCTAATTAACTAACAAAACATTATTAAAATATGGACTGAATTAATTAATAGTTCTTAAAAGTCCAAACAATATTTCATCCCGTGGTACAAGAATTATTTATTATTTGAAATATCAAAACAATATACTCATTGTTTGGCCAACACAACTTAACTTCAAAACCCAAATAATTATTTTATCATAAATAATTAAATTCATAAACTATTAAAATCATTAAACTTTCCCATTTTAAATGATTAAATCTCTATACTATTTTTTTTTTAATGAAAAACCAATTAATTTTCTCATGTTAAATTATTATGTTCTTAAATATTTTTTTGAATAAATAAATCATCGAACTTCTAAAAATCGATTACTTACATCTTTTATAAATAAATAAAAACAAGTTATAACTCATTTTGACTTATTAAGTTCTTAAACATTTGGAAGAGCATAAGGTTGGGTAACGGTAAAATTAATTTAGTTTTTTTTTTTTTTTACTGTAAGGCATTTCTAGTTGGTTAAAAGTAGTTTTTTTTGTTAAAATAATGTAGGTAACCAATTTGTAATAGTTCGATGGTTTATTTATTGTAAAAAACGTTCACGGACTTAATCATTTAAAATGAGAAAGTTTAATAATTCTTCATTCAAAAAAAAAATAGTTCAAAGATATAATAATTCAAAATAAGAAAGTTCAGTGATTTTTTTATTTAAAAAGAAATAGTTTAACGAATTAATTTTTCAAACTGAGATAATTCACTGAGTATTTATGAACTTTTTTCCTTAATAAATTAAATATTTTTTAGACAAAAAGTAGATGTAATAAAATAACATTACAAAAAATAAAAAGAACCCAAAATAGAAACAAATATGTAATACGGCACCCCTTATAAGAGCAAAATTAAAGTCACACGTCAATTTATAAATTAAATGTGGCATTAAATCGTGGACTCAAATTAAACCAATAATTAATACACATCTAAATATGCGATACTTTATTTGGCTACGTTTCATATTTTTTGTGTACAATAATTCTTAGGTTTGTTTTTGCCTCCTCCTGTACCACTGAAGCCTTCGAAGATGTGGCAATGAATAAAGGATTTGTGGGTGTTTGACGAAGGGCTGTTTATCTTATTATTACCTGATAAGCATTTTTATCAGTATGATTTGATACTCTTACTTAATTTAATTATTTGGTAATGATTTTTATCTATTAAAACGACATTGTATATAAAAAATTTATCTGGTAAGCGCTTACCGAGTAAGAGTCGTCACTCTTATTTATTGGGTAAGACTCTCGGTTTTGTCTCTACTCTTACTTGGTAAGATTCACATTCTTGTCATATTCATCCGATAAAATAAAATAACTCATCAAACACTTACCAGGTAAACATTTATTAAACGGCCTATAAAAATATAAACTATGTTTGGCAAACTAGCTGATAAGTTAGTTGATGACTGATAAGTGATAAGTTAGCTGATAACTTATAAGTTAGTTGATGAACAAATTATGTTTGGCAAAAACTAGTTTATAAGCATGTAAAATGACCAAAAATGGTATCTTGATAAATAATAGTCCATTCATTTCATAATATAATTCAACAAAAATTCTAATAATGTAATTAAAACAAACTTCTTATAATATAATATGTTAATTAATACAAACAAAATAATAATAATGTTATTTGAAAATTTTAAACTTGAGTAT